CCCTTCCAACTCACAACATTCTCTGATTCTATAAAAGTTAGGACTCACTCAAAAACTTTGAGAAGTGTTACACCACACAGTCCTTCCTTCATCCCTTATGTTCAATGAGCTGAGTGACATCAGAATTTACCAAACCTTATAGAATCTTGCCCCACGCTGTACATTATTTTAATGTACCCTGTTAAGAAAAATCAAGGTCATAGTGATGATAAAGGTAGCTAAAGTTTCTATAGCAACAGTTGCTAGGATGCAGTTGCCAAAGGTGATTTCTTGTTGCATCCTGAAGTAGCTTTACTGGCTGCTTTCCCTTCCTGTTCACTAGCCTTTTTGGTAATATCAGTACAGACACAATGCAAATGTGTTTTCATTGTCAGTAGAATCTTGTACACTATTCCTGCCCATGAGCTGAATATACAGGACATACCATGTGAAAGGGAAAAAAACCTAAGTAGTCTGACCTTGAGTTCTGAAGGGGACACAACTGATTTAAGACTAGCACACTTTTCTGGAAAGCCAGTTCCCTGTTGTACTTGCAAGTGAAAAAGTGAAAAGAGCAAAGATAAGTTTCTCTTTTTTCCTGCTTGTTTACTGTGTACACTGATAGCATCTTGTCCCTTTCTCCTTCTCCTAATGGACAAATTTCCTTGCTGTTTCTATTGCTCTTCCAAACCTTCAGGCAGAAGAAGAAAAAACAGCAGTCTCTGCACAGCAGAAAAATGTCCCTGTGAAATTACAACAGGTTAAACGTGGAAATACTTTAGAGCTGAAATCTTCCTTTTTTTGTGGACAGATAATTCCAGGTTGCTTCAGCCCCTGGAAGTCTTTACTTTGTGGGGAAGCATGAGACTTTGCAGTATTGGTCATCTCACCAAAATGAATGGTTAATAGTCACGGGGAAGGAACAAGCTGTAATTGCAGGGTCAGCATGAAGCAGGTTGGTGCAGCATGACATGAAACAGTTCCTGCAGCCCACTCGCTGGGAGATTTGGTCTGAAGTTTGCAGCAGGGTGATGCCTGGTATAGGTACTGCTGATGTGCTCTAGCAGGATGTCTTGTTGGATCTGAAGGTGGGGTCTTGTTGGAGCTGAAGATGGGGTCTTCTTGGATCTTCTCCTGAGACCAGTGCCTTTGGGGGCTCCCTCACTTCTTGCATGGTGTTGGCCATGTCCCATTGTCTGGGCTCAGGCACCGAGTTTCCAGGGTTTGTCCTTGCTGTAGGTCCTTGAGCACACCCTAAAGCACTGTGTCCAGCTACATGCCTTCCCTTTGGCACCGTCACCGTAAATACTCATATGTGGATATGAGGTAATTTTGCCTTTCATACAGTAGGGTAGATGCCTTCAAAAGGCCCGTGATGCCTGATTATAGGCAGTGTATGGTGCTGCTTGTTGTCCCCTGCAAGTTCTGTAGCCCTTGCAAAACATAGTCCACTTAATGCTAAGACTGGATTTCACAAAGTCTAGAGCAACTTTTAGCTTCTGCTCCTAGCTAAGATCTTCCAAATATTTGCTCATTGTACCGGATCTTTACTAGACCCTCCTCTGGGCTAAAACAAGGTGTTCAAAATTGGATAAGCTACTACACTGGGAATTAAATTGAAAAGAAAATTTATAGAATTTGTAATCCCTTTGAAAAAATCAGACTATCTGATCTTTCTCCATTTATTTTAAACAAATCAAATAAAAGAAGCCCAAATTGGAAAGAGAACCAACTTGGATAAATCCCAGTGCAGCCACATCCAGAAGAACAACTAAATTTAACCCTGAAATACATCTAGAAACAAGAATAATTCTGCAAATACACTACTTTTTTGTTGTTGCTGTTAAAAGAGCCTTGCTGTTAGCACTGCTTCCAGTGCCTGACCAATATGTGGCACAAATCTCAGAGCAAAGGATTTTTCCATTAACGTAGTGCTCTGAATGTGCTTGTTGTGAAACACTGAGCACACGTCACTAGCGTTCACTTCAAGCCAAAGAACATCTTTGATCACAATCATTTGATTTTCTCTCTACTCTAAACATTACTTCTTGTTTCCATTGGACTCTTTGTTCCTTGTAAATACAGAGCAAATTCTTGCAGTACATCAAGGAGGAAAATGCAATTGGATAAAGAAAATGAAAAACAACACAAAAGTTCTATTTGATTAAATGAAGAAAAAGTAAATTTCAGGTATTCTGAAGAATGTTTCTGAGGCATCACATGGGAAACCCCACAGACAGGTTACTCCTTACGCAACCAAGAAATACGCCATCTCCCCAACATCTCTACTATGTCTCTGCAGTGATTTTTAAAGTAGTTTCCTGAGGTTGAAAGAAATATTTTCTCTGCCGTCTGCCAGGTAAAGTACTACAGACATGTTTGCTGCTGCTGCTGCCTGACATACATCTATTCAAATACTTTCTGTACTAGAATCAATATTAGCTAGACCCATTACCTCCTGCTTTATTGGCAGTTTGGGTGCTTGTTCAGAAAACAGTCCCTCCTAGTAATGTAATAAAGCCCCCACCCTTGGAGATGATTAGGTTGTCTGTGATATAGCATCCACTGATGATCATTTCCCTGCTGATTTTGGCCTGCTACTCCAGCTCAGGTTGCATTCTCCATCACTACACAATCTTACATCAGACCATCTGAGTCTCATCACCTAATAATTGCCATAGTAGATTTTTATTTATTTTTCTTTACTCTTCTATAATAACAGCAACGAGCCAAACCTCAGAGTGTCATTAACATGCTTTTAAAAATGCACTAAAATGGTTTTGTCAATTACCTCGAGATTTAATATCCCAGCCACAACACAGATATACCTCACTCTAACAACAAATCCCTCCAGGAATGCACACATGACACTGCCCTTCCCCACATTTCCTTTGAGTCCTCAGTGTACACTAGAAGCTGATAAATTCAAGCTCCAAATTGGGAGCAGAAGCACACTCCAAAAACGCTGTGAATACTCAGACATTACCTTGTCAACTCTCTCTTCTGATTCTCATTCCTGATGCCTTGGTGGGTTCCCAAATTAAGCATCCTTACTTGTCATTAATTGCATTACTAACAAACAGGGGAACTACAATCTGATGCATCCACTCACGCTTAACTCACCTCCTATGATCTTGTGGTGCAATCTGTTCCAAAAGTCCCTACACATTCAGATTTTGTGTTTTACTATTGAACACACCTGCTTATGGCTTTGACCATTGAAGGGTAAGAGTAAGCAAATTCCATAACCTTAAATCCATACAAGCTACTAATACGTACATACTCCATGGATATTTCATTGGTATTTAACTTTCCACAACCTTGGCAATTCCAAAGCAATAGTCCCTAAACTATGCCTCACAAACTATCTATAATATCAACTCTTTTGACATTGCTTATGACCTTAGCAGCTGGACATCACCACAGTTCAGGTCATCAGGGAGAACAATGTTTAATATTTCATGATGTGCAAAATATTTTTGCTGTGCAGAATATTTCTTCCTCAATATTATTGCCTATCAACTAACAAAGGATGAAGTTCATCAGCATAGGTAGGTTGCCAAATCCTGGGATCCCCAGTAAACATCCCAGTAGTCTTGGAGTCCAGCCTGAGCCTGGATAAATGCAATGTATTACAATCAACAAAGCAATTAATTAATGAAATGCTGACATTGTACCTTCCTTGGAACAAAGAGGAACCCATGGCCCTCTGCCCAAGGAGCTTACAAGTCTAAATTAGACTAGCAATACAGATCAGACACACAAGACATGCAGAGGGAAGGTTGACAGTTCTGCCTTCCCTTTGTTTTATGTAAATACAGATATAGACAGTGGAAGCAGAAAGTAAAGCGTCTCTCTCCTGGGCCCCATAGTTTTCTCACCCTCCTGTCCACAAGCAAGTTTTTTATCTTCCCTTCATCTTCCTGGTGTCTCCCTGTGCACACATTCCTCTTTTCACATTAAGTTCGTCCTATTTTTTTTTTTCAGTTTTCCATATTTAGTTCTACCAACTCAAAACATCTCCTTCCAACAGTAGATCATCTCACCTCCTCTCCTCACTTGACCTAGGTTATCCATCTCCCCTGTTCAAATACTCTCACATATTTAGAACAAAAGCTCATCCATCCCATCATTCTAAGGTCTTCTCTTCCTTGTCCTACAACTCTTAACAGCCTAACACGGTTTATAATCTCTGCCCACATAAGATCCTGTCTCTCTCCATCTGAATTCTTCCATTTCCATCAAGATCATGAGAACCTGTCAAATAAAATCACACACTCAAGACAATGCACTTGGACCCCGAGGACTGGATGCATGAGGAACTGTTAGCATCTACAGATGGTAGGGATATGAATAAAGTCCTTTATGCAGAGTAAGTTAGTACACAACAGGAATTATTCTGGATCTCTTCACTGTCTCTACTACAAGAAAATGAAACATGCATAATATATAAACATAAAACGTACAAATGTAGATCACAACTCAAAGGCGAGTACCTTCCAACCTCCAAAGCATGTTATTTTGGGGACTAGCATTTGTTGATTTGTTTATCTTCCTCTGCTAAAAGCCAAGAATTCATCAATTCATCATCAGTTTAAATCCCTCCAGCTTTTCTGTTTCCATTCCTTTCATTTCCTTTAAAATACTCTCCACTCAGCCAAAGTGTTACTTAGTTTTCACTTTTTTTTTTTTTTCTGAGAAATGTAAACCTATTGAAAAGGAGCTGTAAAAAGGCCCCTACAGATTTTAAGACCCGAATAAGTGACACATACAAACTTCTCTTCCCTGCAGTTCAGAAAATTGTATTACTATGCACAGTATTGTCATTATCGTCTCTCCTATTACAACTGACACAAGGAAATTGAAATATCTACTTCATACTGGTGAGAAGCGGACAGAACTGAAGGAAAATATATAAAAAAACAACCCCCCCTCCCCCCAAAAAAAAACCCAAACAAAACCCCCAACAAAACAGTAACAAAACCAGAACAGAAGGGAGGATATATTTTTAAAGCACTTACCCAGCATCAGTGCTATTGCCGCACAGTAACACATCTTCTGTACCATTTTTTCTGAAATAGTTCACTGCAACAGAAATAGACAAATAGCTTTTTAACAAGCACATTCTGGGAATGATAACATTCACAAATATCATCCACCAACCAGTATATTCAATTGGGACAGTAATTGGGAGATTTTGCTTTGTTTTGCTAATTTTAACGTCTATAAACTGTAAAAATAAATGTATTTTTTCAAAGCTCTTTAAACACGTGCTGTTTGTATTCCAAATCTGACCAGTTTAATAAGGTGACAGCAGGGCTACAGGCAATGTTTGTTGGAAACATCATCCAGCCACGTCTCTGGCTGTTGTAACCAAGAACTTTGTTACTGAATTCAGTACAGAATAAGCCAGTGAAACCAAATCATAAGCTTGCCCATAACTTTTAGACTCTACACCAATGAGATACATACTAATTGAAGTTTGTGATAGGAATTCCTGACTCATAGGTTAAAAATGCAACCAGTCATAAGTCATAATGTAATAATACTAACAAAGCAGACCACTTCCCCAATCTGGTGGATTCTGCTCAGCATAGAAAACATACAGTATAAAGCAAAAGAATAAGAAAAAATGTACCCTGTTAAAGATCAAACAAACAAGGAAGTATTCATAAAGACAAATATTTATCAACACAGTCATCTGAAATGGCAATACAGAGAGATAGACACTTCCCGAGGGAGACTCAGAGGAGCAAGCTAAATTTAAGTGCTTTGGTTCATTCCCTGGTTGACTATCAATGAGGCTTAAGGAAATTAGCATCCCCAGGCTAATGAGAGCCTTTGTGTACACACTCCTTCTTCTCTCCCCAGCCAACAAAGTCTAACATTCAGAGAAACAGAACAGGAAGCCAACTTCTTCTTGAAAGGATAAGCAAAATCAGTTTTCAGAGAGAGTGTGAAGAAAAGAAATGTTCTATGGAGTATCTCTAAAACCTGACTGGTGGCATGGGAGAACAGATAAAAGCATTGATCTAGAAACATAATAAATGCAAAACAGAGGACAGCAGTGTGCTTTGCTGCAGCAGAGAGGACATGATCCCCTGTTGACATAGGACATGATGGTGGCAGCCTTGCACAGCATGTGTTTGTAAGCAGAGGGCCCTCTGCAGATAATGCTCAGAAGAGGTTCCCCATTCTAGGCTAACTCCCTGTTGTGAAATGTTTTAAAAATCAAGAGTGACAGCTTATCTCAGCAGGCAATGCAAAGAATGCTCAATGGCTCAAGCCACTGAACAGATGTGCTGTGGCTTTCTCAGTAAGCTGCAAGCAGTGGAAAAGCCCTGCCCTGCTGCATGCCAAGAGGGAATTACTGTCCATGAGTTTGTGGCTATGAGGGCATGTGATGATGTTCACAAGTTATCAGAGCATATATCCAGCTCAGACTGTATGCTTTTTCACTTTGTCTTACATGTGGGCTTTCTATGGAAACACCTCGACTGACAGCAACAACCATGTATTCAATATGTTTAAAGATCTTCTGCATCAAAAGCAGCATGACCAGCAGGTTGAGGGAGGTGGTTCTGCCCCTCTGGTGAGACCCCACCTGGAGTGCCACATTCAGTTTTGGGGTTCTCAGCACAAGAAAGACATGGACCTGCTGGAGTGGGTCCAGAGGAGGCCACAAAAATGATCAGAAGGATGGAACACCTCTCCTGTGAGGACAGGCTGATAGAGTTGGGGCTGTTCAACCTGGAGAAGAGAAGGCTCCAGGGACACTTTGTTGTAGCCTTTCAGTACTTAAAGGGGAGTCTATAAGAAAGATAAGGACAAACATTTTAGCAGAACCTGTAGTGATAGGACAAGAAGTAATGGTTTCAAAGTAAAAGGCTGGAGATTTAGACTAGATATAAGAAGAAATTTTTTACAGTGTGGGGGGTGAAACACTGGAACAAGTTACCCAAAGAGAGGTGGTAGAAGCCCCATCCCTGGAAACATTCAAGGTTAGGTTGGACATGGCTCTGAGCAACCTGATCTAGCTGGAGACGTCCCTGCTCACTGCAGGGCGGTTGGACTAGATGAACTTGAGAGGTTTCTTGAAACCCAAACCATTCTATGATTCCACAAAAATCAGCATAAATAGGGGAAGGATGTTATGCCTTCCATCTTCTTTCCCTCTCCACTTCTGCTGGTGAAAGACTTCTGCTTCTCTCAGGACAGATGATAACTTTTTTGGGATATATAGTGACAGAAACCCATCAGACTGAGGTATGGAGGAAATATGGTGCAATCATGAGATAAGAGATAGATAAAACAACTGCAGAAGTTCTGCAACTTGTTATGAAATGGTCACCACATTAGATATCCTGAACCTGACAAACATGCACTACTCCATGGGAATTGCAACTTTTCATACCGCAAATGCTAAGACCAGGAGGACCACAGATCTGTCACTGTGAGCTGATCACTTTTTTTGATGGATGGTTGAAGCTGTGAAGCACAGTGCTGGTTGAAGACTGAACCAACACCTCATGGTCAACCAAAGCAGAAGATGAGAACAGAGTCAGAGCACAGAAAAAAGGAGGAAAAGGAGACTCTATGTGCAAATAAGAAATTTAAAATCTCAAGAATAGACAAAATTCTGATGTCTGCTGCTGACGTAAATATTTACATTTCTAAAACAAGCAATACAGTAGGTGTCAAAAAGTGCTATGAAACGAGTGGTGAGAAACCAATGTCTAGCTGCTGCTGGGAGATGGAGTCTGTAACTGCACAACAGAGTGTTACAGCTACTAAGCCAAACCTCAGCCTGAGGAAGAGCTGAATTGCTGATTCCCTACTGATAAGAGAATGAAGGATTAGAGTATTACACCCAAGGAGACAAATCGCTGTATTATCAAAATTCACACAACAATCAATTTGTCGCTCAAAGCAAGGCAGTTTGGATTTTGATCAAGCATGACGGGCAATCAGAGGTTTTTAAGAAGCAGGCAGCCATCACTTTTGCTTTTAAAGAACAAACCACCTTGGTATCATATTAACCCATTGCCTCAGCTTTCTATCAGTTAACTCTAACACTGACAAAGAAAATAAAACTCTTTTTTCTTTTACAGTAGGATCTCTGAAACATAGACTGCTCAAACTGATCAACATGACCAGAAAACACAGTGACTTTTTTTTTGTTATCTTGGAAGATTACAATTCGTTTTTGTTTTGTCAGCTTTTTTTCAGTGAAAAAAATCTGCATATCAATGGAAAACAAAATAACAAAATGAAAGTGAAAAACAAAACCAAAAACCACCATAGCAGATTTTTTTTCCAATGTTTAAAGTAAAATTAAGCCAAAACAATAACATTTGTACATGTGCATGTGCGTACATAATCTTTATGCAACATGCCATTCTTTCCAAAGGAAATTATCTTATTTTTTTTCCTACCACCTTTAATAAAATGTTGATGTCACAGTTATGGTGTATACAAAGCCTTTTAGGAACTTTTCTACAGGAATTTCCAGAGTAAGATAACTACTTTGGTCATATTAGAAGAACTTTTTTAAAATGGTCAGAATAACACTGACTTCTCATCAGTTTCTGGTTGGTCACACATTATTTAGTCCATTATTGCCAAATAAAATCAACTTTTTTTTCAATAATAAAAAACATTTCTTGTCAGTACTCAACAGTCAAAAATTCAAGAGAGGTATGTTTTATAATAACCAGATGCTATGTTCTCCAAAACATATGCACATTTGTGCCTAAGTCTTATAAATACATAAGTAAGACCCTGCATCTCCAGTGCTCCTGACATAGTATTACTTGCGTTAGGTTGATTTTGTTGCCATTAAATAGTTGTATGCTGAATCCTTTTGTTGGTGTTGTCTTCTCAGTGCCTGTGTTTTAGAGGCACCGAGTTCAGTAAAACAATCCTTGTAAAGTGAGTACTCACAGGCAGCTTATTATCTTCTAAGAGAGTTTTGTCTGCCTGCAAAGGACAGCAAGATGATGACAAATGCTACAGCCAAAGTGGCTCAAGCACCACTAACAGTAAAGATTCGGCTCAAACCCACATGCCTTGCTATGTACGGGGTATGACAAAGTTCACACTACCATAACCTCACTGAAATTAGTACTCGTGCCAGTTAGGTGCCAAATAGTAGAGGTTTACTTCCATCTACTGTGAATCACATCTTCCTTGGCACTGACAACACACCTGTAGCATCAAAGAGCAAACACTTCTCTAATTAATTCCCTTAATAGTTTTGAGGAAAAGGTTAATAACAAGTATTACTCAGCACAGTTGTTATACATTACATTATTATTTGATAGGGACCACTGATGGTTGTCTTTAGATGTGACATGGGGCCCAGACAGCAAAACACCATGACTGTGGAGTGGGGTAATGATGTCTGCTTTTCCCCATCACCAGCACAGGGAGCTTACACTAAACAAGCCCCAGGAAATAATGTTCACTAATCCAGCTCTCGGTTACAATTACAGCAACCCAGAGTAATTCTATCTCTGCAACATCCACAGAGCTCCTGGCTTTCCAGGGACATCAAGAAGCTGGGTGGCAGCCGTAACCACACTCATCAGTGGTCCCTTAAATCTTAAGTTTGCAACGGCATTAGGAAGATTAAAGTATATCACCCCATTTTCCCTCCTGTAACACCACAAGTTTCTGTGTCTCCTTCAAGTCCATGTTCTGCCTCCTACACTGTTCAAAGCACAGTGTTGCCCCTAATTTTAAAGTTACAGCTGTATGCAAGTAATGAGAAAATACATGAATTCCTCTAGATTATTCTTGCAATGTCTTTCTTCCAAAGTAAACTCCTCAAGCTTCTCATAATTTCTGCTGTTTTATTCTACACTTTTTCATATCTATCAATATCTTTCAGGTTTCTGCATTGCTCTCTTCCACAACAGGCAATTCTAACAGAGAAAACATTCACAATGGCTCCACCTGTCAAGTTTAAAAAAAAAAAAAAAGAAAAGAAAACTTCCTTAAGAAAAAAAAATCTAATTAAAATTATGCTTCAGATTATACTTTCCACATCTACATCACACCACTGAGCAGAAAGCCAGCAGGAT